AGTGCAAAATATAATGTGATTATTAATTGTGAATTATTTAAAGCAAGGGCACTCCAGCATCCCTCATACTGATGCAGTAAATATTTGTTTTAATATTAAAAGTGGAGAAACATCCCAGTTTATTTTCTACTCTGATCTTTTGTGAAGAAGACAGATCACTGATAATACATCTATAAAAGACATTTAATTAAATCAGGCCACAGTTAATCTAATGATAGGCCCCAGTCTGCAAATTAAATCAGATGGAGATAGGGACATATTTTCAGCTTACTCAAATGGAGAAGGGCATATTTACAAGTGTTCCAAGGTTATAGATATAAAGTTATATAGTGCTTTGTCTGTCTGTGTCACAGTGTATTTATACAATTCAAAATTAGGTGATGTTTATTTATCTTGACTGTGGATGCTTTTGGCTTTAATTTTCTGCATATCACAATAATTTCTGGGCTTTTTAATTATTAGACAATAGACAATGGCGTCACAAGATGTACTGCATAAATGGACTGCATGAAAGCACACATACTGTATATAGAGAGCCACCCTAGAACGATGAGTAGAAAATTATCATGTGCATACCTATGTGTTTGAGTATAGTTCACATTTACACTTCACATGGGAAATAACGCCTTGCAAATATGGTTTGCAAAAAAAGTACATACTGTACTCATCTGAAGGTTCGAAGAATGTATCCCATGATGGTCAATACAGTACAGTATGGCCTCACTTGTTCATTGACAATTATCTCAGTGTCATTGTCCATGCCATTATTCATGCCAAATAGAGTGCTGAAAAGATGATAGGGGCCCCCAAAGATCACATCGAGCAGCTTCAGCTTCTCTGTGGAGTTATTTCATGGCATTTAATAAATCATTTTATGTGGTGTTCTGAACAAAGGTAGACAAATACCACCATGCAGCAGAGATGGGTAATTTTATTCATGCGCATAGTCTTTTATGAGGTATTTGCTATTTAACGGAAAAGGATACTTTATACTTTAACAAAAGGATGTTATATTTACATTTTTTGTTCTTTTGCTAAAGTATAAAACTACCCTTCTTAAAACATCCTGCATCTGTATTTCTACATGTTAAATTTTGGGAATGTTTACAAAAGATGATAGTCAAAATGTGTATCAATGAGGAAGCTTTAGTGCCTACTCTTTAAAAGATGTAATTTGTAGCTGTATTTTATATTTCTATACTATTTATATTTAAAGGCTTGGAACATGGAATCAATTCATAACTGATCCTTTACACAAAGTAATCCAGACTATAGGTACAGTAAGGAACTTCACTTCCTTGGTAAAGCATAACATATTATAGCCTGATAAAACATTAAAACACAAAGAAGTTTAAATCTGAGGTACTCCCCTTTCTTAATGCGACATAACTATGTAGAAAAAAATGAAACACATCTGTAAATTAGAGACATGAGGTCGTAACGGTAGAGCATAATAAATTAGCTTCTGTAGTAAGGCATACACCACAAGCAATCCAAAGGAAAAGACATCAGAAAATGTCTCCTTAAAGTAGATAACTTATTTATCCTTCGCTGATGGATAGATACGCCGCATCGTCTTCATGGAGGCTTTAAAAAAATCCTGTAAAATCTAGACGCAGCAGAAAATGTGCTGTGCTCACACACTTGATTTTAACAGCAATATAAAATTGCTTTTTTCAGCAGTGATGCTTGTGTTCATGCTATACATCTCAATTAGCCACAAATTGCAAGGATTTTTCCCATGTTAACAGCTGTACAGCACGTTCATTATGACTAATGCTCTGTGAAGTTAACTCTTTTGCATGCAAAAGTCTTCTGTTCACTACACTTCATCTCAGAAAAGCCACTGATAATGTACAGGGTTCCATTTTCTTTTGGGTTTAAAGCAAACTCTATGGATAAATGAAAAACACAAAAATGTACCGCAGCATTAGTCTGTGTAGCATTGGAAGTATTGTACAGTGTTTCAATACCAATATGTCCGTTTTAAGTGCCTTTGGCAGATGTTACCATGTGTTTATGGAATAAATTGATGAATCATAATGTCTCAGGAACCAGCCCACTAGAGAAGATGCACGTTAATTACCATGACTGCTCTAACTTTGCAGAAGGTCCCGCTTCTAGTCTTATTATAGTTAATAATCCGCTTTTCGTATTAGAAACCTTCACTTCAAATCTTAATTAATTTAATTTTGGTAATGGAGAAATTAACATTAACTGTGGGACTGCAGCCCTTCACTGAGCTACAGTTCAAGAACAAAGACATCATAAGCATGCAAAATGTCGGGCTTCTGCACATTGCTATGCCTGCCATGCTCCTGTGGATTACAAACTAATCAAATATAATGACTTTGTGTTTAGGGTTTAACCCATGGAAGATCCATCTGCAGTCCAACAGCTGTCAAAGTCCTGTAAATTAGGATGAATTGTGACAGGCTCAGTAAGATTGTTTTGTCCGAGACGAAAAAAAACAGAAAATGATGTAATGCATTCTGACCCATGACAGAATTACAGAATTGGCAAAATAAAAGCTGATACACAGCAGGCTATGGAATTAAAAAAATAAAGTTAACAGCATGTTTCTTAGAAGGTTAAGAACACTAGATCTGAATAAATCTAGAATATTTGGAGCTGTGAGTAAATATCACAACACATTGGTTTTGTCTGGTTTATAAATTCTACAGAATTAATAAAAATAGGAAAATAAAAACGAAAATTACAGTCTTATTTTTTTCATTCATATGGCATAATACTATAGAGTCATCTTGCTCATTTCAAATGAAATACCACCTTGACTTCTGAGTCCTGTTTGATGTTCAATAGAAGATTAAAGCAATTTCAGGTAGTGTTTATTTTGTTATTGTCATATTATTTTTGGAATTTAATTTTTTGTGCGCAGTTCATTAAAGCAAAGATTACACAACACTGATACTGCATGTGTAGCGGAGCTAGTTCGGATACGGTGACGTCATCGCCCTGCCTGCGCGTAGCAGAGACCTCAGCCGCCTGGGCTGCGGGAGGTCTCCTTTAGCTCATGAGGCTGGCTCCCTGTTGCGTTACGCCTGAGACCTGGGTTTGCGCCCCAGGTGTTGCGGGACGAAACGGGTGGGTTGGAGCGGCGTTGGGCACGAGCCCGGGCAGAACCGCGGCGGTCACACACAGGACCGAATCCGGCCTGAGATCTGACCTTGGAGAATAGTGTTCCATGCTCTGATGAGTGCCCTCTCATTCTCATTCATTCAATGATGTCTCACTGATGTGAGAGGATTCAATTTTTTATTTGTCAGAGAAAAGCAGATTACCACAGTGAATGTAGTTTCACCAGATGAGTTCACTATACCAGTGAAACTGAACTTGGATGAATCTATAATAATAATAAACTTTATTTTACATAGCACCTTTAAAGGTGGCTTCTCAAAGCGCTCTGCAGAACTATAACAACAACAATGACAAAATACAACAGATGCACAATGAGAATACACATTGGGAGGGCACAGTAGATGGGGGTTCCTTGGGTAGATCCTTGGGGAGAGAGTTCCAAAGCTTTGGGGTATAACAGGAGAAGGCCCTGTCACCCATAGAGTGATACAGAATACATAATATAGGACCATAGAGTATCTAGGATCTATTCATTTAGGAGGTCAAAAAGCATAGGATCATATTTCATGTAGACACCTCAGAACAGCACTACTGCTAACAGGGTAATGACAGAGAAGTGTTTCTTTGATTTTCTGGTTCATTTGGAACCAATTGGGAAGCTTGTCCTAAGCAGTGATACTGTATATCTCTGAGCCAGGTAATGTATCACTGAATTAAACAGTCTGTAAATAAACAAAGCTGTTAACACTGTTTAATCAATGTACAAATGTAGACATTAAATACTTAAATTCAATTAGACACAATCATCCAGCCATTCAAGTACACTGCTTATTCCTGGTAATGGTTTTGGCAAACCACAGCTTGTCCTAGAAGCACAGGACAAATGTTAAGTAATGTTTCTTTTAATTTTTGCCTGATCTGCCCTTTAATAATTTTCTCTCCTGCCCTATGATTCCTTTCAGGACTCCTTTTTTTCTGTTACTATTTCAAAAATATCTTCTTACTAGCTTGTTTGTATAATATCCCCCTATAAATTAAGATCTGAAAAAAAAACTTTATAAGACAAAGTTGTATTATTAAGAGAATGAAACAAGTCTTCAGCAATCAGCTTTGATTCAAGGTGATGCTGTATTGCTCAAAAGCATTTTATATACTTTTATATGATAACAACTATCATATAAAAGTTATCCTGAGGTTGTTTATTCAGAACAATGGCAATGTCCATTAAACTTCTTTTGAAAAAAATGCAATAGACAATAAGTACTTGTACTGTACTTAGCCTAAGTTTAGAGGTATGCCTCATCTATGTGTATGCTATGTGTGTCAAGCATCGAGATAAATATTGACATAATAATTATATTAATAATTCTTTACACTTATATAGCACTTTTCTGGACACTCCACTCAAAGCATTTTACAGGCAATGGGGACTCCCCTCCACCATCACCAATGTGCACCACCCAGCTGGATAGTGCGACACAGTATAACAATATATAGCCTCTTTACCAGTGCATAGTAAGAATATTTATTTTATATCTCTTGTGTACACAATTTTTGATTTTCTAAATAATTGTTCTGACAAAAATATACCAAAAACTTTAAAATAAGATACTGTATATATAAAACTAGATTCTGTGATCATAACATTTTGAACCTTAAATCTTCATTAAAAGACCTTTTCCCAAAAAATACTTACTCAATGGACCAGTGATATCTCAATGTAGAAAAACCATATTTAACTTACAAAACATGAAGTATTGCATTCAAGTAATCTTAAGAATAATAAGTATTCAATAAAATCTGCATATCCAACAGGCATACTGTAGCTTTATCCTTTTGTACTATTGTAAAAAGTACATTTGGGAATAAAAACATTTTCTTAGGTCAGTAAAAAAAATTACCTTGTCTATGACTTGGACCTGCTTTCTTGTATGAGCATCCAGTATCTCCACTTCAAAGTAAGCAATTTTGGTACGCCGAGTGAGCTGTGGGAAACCCAGAGGACATGTATTTAGGACAAGCTGGGAGAAACTGTAGAAGCTCCTGGGAACATTATGTGGTACAGGTGACATTCTGGCTCAGTTTCTCTGCAGAGACCTGCTACTTCTCAACCTGGAATGAGTAGAAAAGACCTGTCTGTGCCTGAAGTACTTACACAGGGACTTAACCAAAAACAGAAGGACCATAGCAATCACTTAAATAGCTTGTGAGAGCCAAACGCAGTCAGAGATGTCAAATGACATTCCATATGAAGTACATAATCTTATTCAGCAGGACCGAGAACAATGACTATCTAATCACGTTCTATATATAACTTGTAATTGTGTGTCAGAATGTCTTGTTTTCATCTCAGTGCATAACATTTCAGTTCACACATGTCTTTTCTTCACATCCTGCCTTGCTGAAGCCAAAGGTCCTTCAATGAAGATTTCAGAGCCAGGAGGCACTCAGAACAGGCAATTGTGAAAATTCCAGTCTTATCACAGTGGTGAAGATGTTAGGCAGGATCATTTCCAGAGCCATTGCTGATTGGGCATACAGTAGTTGTGTTACTTGGGACAGCTCAAGTAAAGTCTCGTTGTTAGCAGCTGTTGAGAGACGCCAAGCAGCAAATTATATTTATTAAATTTTATAATCAACCCCTGCAATAGAAAGATGTGATATTGCTTTGACTTTTAGGATAAATGTCCATACAATCTTGGAAAGATAACTGACAACACCACATCATTTAATGCAGTCTTCTTTGAACAATAACAAAGAAATGAGAACTGTCAAGAAACACCTTGGATATAATTTTGCTTAGGTTAAGAAAATTAACCTAGATTGCTTTTGTGCAGTATTTCTGTAAGACACTGGGAGAGAAGTATGTCAAATGCATCAAAACCTCTTACAAAGTAGTAACACTAATTGTTGATATCTTAAATACTGTAACTATTATTATGAAGTCCACACATTTACTGCTCCAGTTAAAATGCAAGGAATTTCAGAAAACATTAAAGCACAAGAAAGTTATGCATAATAGTACATAAATACAGTTCAGATTTATAAACTCAAATGATCTTATGTGATACCCTTAAAGTTATTAAAGAAGTTATTAGAAGTAACAGCTTTGAAGATTTTGTTGTTGTCATTAAAACTGAGGAAATTTCACATAATATAAAATGTGTTATTACATTCTTAAATAAATAAAGGAGGTGGCTTTAACCATTATAATTGTTTCCCCACATTGTCAAGATCACAAATATGTTTTTCACTTTAAGTTTAATTTATTTTGTATCCTATCCTTATTTTTGCTTGTTCAAAGAACTCTAATATATTAGTAATCAAGACGTTAAAGTAATTGACAAAAATACATTTAGAAAAATATATTTAGATTTTCAAAAGTCTTTTGATCAAGTTTCTCATAAAAGATTACTTACAGCTGATAGGCATTACAGAAAAATGTGTATGTTTGGATTGAGAACTAGTCAATTGATAGAAAACAAAGAACACAGATAAGGAGTAAATACTCAAGTTGTGGTGATGTCATTTGTAAAACACCACAACGATATCTATTAGAACCATTGCTCTTCTTAACTTATATAAGGTACTTTAGGGATCTACATTTTGGTATAATTAGTAAATTAGTTGAATTTGCAGATGATACTAAACCAGGAGGAACATCAAAACATGAAAAGGACAAAACACCTGGTAGATTACTTCTAATTTAAACAAGTGTGGGATTTTGCATAAATGTGGCAAAAACATAAACTACAGTATAAATATATGAGCACTGAACTCACATAATGTCCTTCTCTCAGTTGTAACCCTTCTCATGTTGTTATTTTCTAATTAATGTACTTATTAATGTAATGTATGTACAGTATATATACTCTGTGCTGTGCTGTAAGCAAACCTGTCACTCTTTGGAACACCTAGGATTATGATATATGACTATGGCTATCAAAAAATCCGTCAATACACAAAGAGCTTCACTGGGATGTATAGCCATTCGACGGCAAAAGAGGATTTTGTTTTAAACAAGCTGTTTTTAATACATTATGTAATCTCAAGGTGGCCCTCATTTAGTTTTAGGGGATTTCAGAGCAGGTTATTCCCCTTCACAAAAACTGCCGAAAATTAAATGTACTAGTAAGCTGAAAATCAAGTTAAGGACAAGAAGTAGGTTTCAGAGGGCTGGTATACCGGAAATTCATCTTAATGTAGCCTGCTACCCTCCTCACAAACTGCCTCTGAGTGCTTCAGTATTTATTAGATTGTGGCATGCACTGCAACAATAAGTGCCTAGAAGTATTACCCCTGCCACCCAAAGAAAGAATATCTTTCTACAGTCAAAACGTTTTGCTGTCTTTGTTTTGTATTGGTGTCCTCCCAGACAGAAGATACCAAAGTATGGCCCTACTGATCACGCATGACACAGCCATTTAGAGGATTACATTCAGAAAGACTAGAGCAGATGTTGTAAAGAAAAAAACAACTCATGACATGATTGTAATAAATGTGCTGGATGCTGCAAACTGCAGAAATAATTTGGCATATTGCATTGGAATAACTACCTACGTTATCTGGCAGCAGCTGCTGCTGCCTCATCCAAGTAATTGGGCTATATTATTTTCAATCCTATTTCAAACAGAGGTAGGACAACCATTTAATGTGATTTACAGCCCAATATACCACACAGAAGCCTGCTCTGGTCAGAACTCATAATCTAAACAAGGACTTGGTTTGTAAGTGGTTGAATAGAATAAACTAAAAGAAAAATAGTCTTTTGATCAAAAGGAAACCACAGAACTAAACCAATTCCATTCTAAGGTGACATGGGAAATCAGAAGACTTAACTCTGACAACATGATCATTTCTGAAAACACGTTACATTTCACCTTCTAGCGACAAATTTTTAATTAATAAATTAAGAGTTTAACTATGGACTTACTGTAATTTATTTTTTCCTACTAAAACTTAGACAATCCTGGCTTTCAGCTGCATGATGATGTGCTTATTACTATATATATATGGTTTATGAACAAGTATTACAATATTTCCATTTGGTTCCTATTTTAGCTTGTATAAATACTATATACTATATACAAAAATGTATATTATGCATACATATTATGTATTTCAAATGATTTACTAAATGTATATTTAAGATATAGATAATATATATTAAAGCTTTTTGTCTATGGAATTATTTGTTTATTAATATTAAGGTATCATTAATCATATTTAATCACGGTAATCAAATACACGGTAAGTATAACCAATTTTTAAAGGGTTATACAGTACATAACAAGTCTATTTTTAGAGCTGTAGAAAATAGGGTCAAGACTAAATAAAACCTTTGGCCCACAGTCTTAAATTTTGATTTTGACAGCCGTTTTCTTTGGAAATGGGCAACAAGTTTCTGACCATCACAGCTACTGTACGTACTGCCATGAGGCGACACATTTGAAATTAATTTCCAAATTATAAGATAAAGCTAGAAGTATGTTTTTTTTTGTGTGTATTTAACAAATGTCCCAAACATATAAATATGTTAAAATGCTTGTGTAATGTATCGGTAGGTATCAGTATTTGTCGAGATTATCACATTAAAAACAGCAGAAAAACACAGCACAGTGGGTTTGTCTTGATAACAATATAGCCCGTTTCTTCTGCAGTCATCTGCAGAAGAAACAGTGGTGTCAGCCTGAGTCAGTCTGGCCCTTATCCAAGGCACACTGTCACTGCTAGGTACCCCTGGAGACACCTACTGTACCAGCCTTCACTCCTGAATTTTCATTTTCCTGTTCTGCCCTCTGTAGGTTTCCTGTTAGCCCCCTGGATTTTCCTTACTATTTACAGTCCTACCTGTGTAAACACTTGGTATACAGTCTCAAATGTCACGTTTTCCCCTGCCCCCCCCACATGACCAAGGTAAAATGATGACCAGGGGTGATGATAGCCAAGTCACTTGCCTCACAGGTATTCCGAATCATGATCATTCCAAATGCCATTTCTTGTTAGTTTTATATATACAGTATCACACAAAAAAATCCCTCTCTTTCTGTAGTTCATCTCATGCTCCCCATCTCCACCTTTGCAGCTGCCCCTTAGTTAACTCCTACAGTATCTCTGCATGAGGTCCCTGAGCCCTGAGCCAAGCAGATCATGTCAGATCTCACTACATCTAAATACTCAATAAACATCCTCAAACATATTGAATTGCTGAGTGTCATTATTCATCGGGAACATTTTGTTGCTGCCCCCCCACCCCACCCCTTGACTCTCTTTTAGGGTTTTAAATCTATTCTTACCTGTCCTAAAAATCATTCATGTTGTTTGCTCATCACTGATGTCACAAAGCCTACCGACTGTACTTAAATCCAGGTAAAATCGCAGTTTTACGCAGGCTCATTCGTAAATGTCTATCTAGATGAAATTAGGATTCAACATATCTTCTGACAAATCAGTCCTAGAGTTAACCAGCACTCAAGTCATCAAACCCACGGACTCCGAAGTCAATTACATTTGATGTTTCCATAATGCATAAAATTTAATTTTGTTAAGTGTGAGTGCACAGCTTCCGAATTTCAAGGGCTTTAGTGTTCACTGGCATTTGTTCCACTCAAGATTTTAGTTGAAATATTTATAGTCTTATTTATACCCATTTAACACTCCTATGATCCTTAACAATTAGCAAATCCTGCATACTACTGGATCATACCCTTTTTTGTGCAGTAAATATGCACCATTTATTTAAATGTACTCAAAATACCCACAAAACCGACTTCTCTTGCACCACTTTGTTAACTCTGTATTATAGTGCCATCCATGGTTTGCTTTACTAATGGAAAGAAAATATCATGCATTTAACTGTTGTATCACAGATGAGGTGGACCGGTCCAATGGCAGGCAGTCAGCTTCAAAATACCGAATGTACAATGGTGTTGTTGCTAAATGCGGTAAACAGAAATGTAGTAAATCATCTTATACAGATACATTTTCAGTGCTAGTGTCACATAGACTCACTTCTATTTGACTAATCTTTGCAGACTTCAGGATAAGCCTTTGCCTTTAATTAGGCTTTGAGATCCAACAACCAAGGTTAACAGATGTTATATACTTGTTATGTTATATATTTTACCGCAAGCCACGCGACATACAGCAGGTGGCAGTAGGAGAAAACAGCCTCACAGTTCAAGTCAAGACGTATGCAATCACCAAGTGTGTAGTCGCTGTTTATGACGCTAAAAGGGGATTAAATCAACTATCGATATACGGATTTCACAGCAAGATGGCGGATATAAATACGAAACAAATGCTTCAGAAAAGGTAATAAAAGACTGTGGTCTTAATTTTTAAAACTCGTTTCTCGGCATAGTGATTCGAATAACGGAAAGTAAAACAAATTGGGACATTGTAATTGTTTTATTATTTTGCAGGATAAAAAGTGTGATAGCAGCCAACACCCCATTTTTTCTTGGTTTCCCGGTTGCTTTTCCCTTTGTTTTTTTTAATTTTCAGCCTCATAGAAAGCGATACCATATCGTTTGTATCTAATTCTTTATAGCGCTTTTATATTTCATTGTATATCTATCACACTAAATATATTTTGGAATAACTTTGGAAATGGCATGTCTTCTCATTATCTTCCGGGTCTGAGTGGTAACAAATATTCACATTGTCATTTGCGACCTTTTTTAATATTTTTTTATGATTACACATTTTTACGCCGATAACATGATTATTCGTGTTGATTTCATCTGCTTTTATAGTGCAAAGATTGCAGCGGGAGCAGTGGTGTGCGTAGAGAGTGAAATAAGAGGAGACGTTACAATTGGTAGGTTACCCTTTCTTTTTTCTGCATTTGGAATGCTTTCTAATCAGATTGTCCTTCACAACTTGTCATACCTAATCTTATTAAATATCAGGCTTATGTCCACGATAAAAATATGCATTATCAGTGTTGCGTCTTGATTCAGCAACTACATCTTGAGTTCTTCCTGTCGCTATAGGCATCCTTGCAGTTTGTGGTCCTGGTTAACTACGAGTAATTAGCTTCTTTCATTTCTCTTGGGTAAATGAAATATGTGAAAATTGGATCCCCAATAAGTGCAGTAAATGTTGTTTAGTGTATATACAATACAGGCTAAACAGTTCATATGACAGTCAAACAGTGTTTCTTGCTCTTTGTAAGTTTGAATGATTTTCCCAAGGCAGAAATAACCTTTGAAAATTCCTTGTGGAACTATTCTTGCAGGTCCTAGGACAGTGGTACATCCCAAGGCTCGCATTATAGCAGAAGCCGGCCCCATTGTCATTGGAGAAGGCAACCTGATTGAAGAACAGGCTATGATTTGTAATGGGTAGGAGATGCTCTGTGGTTTCCCCATCAGTCTATTTCCATGGTAGCAATATTTGCTTACACTGCATTTTTATCTTAATATAGCTTTCCAGAAAACATCACACCAGACACGGACAGTTGGGAGCCCAAGACTATGACAATTGGAACAAACAATGTTTTTGAAGTGGGATGCAGTATCCTTTTCTTTCAGAAAGTAACATTCCAAATTTGTGGTGCATTGCATGTTCTAAAATGTGACATATTCGCAAAATGTTCAACACATTATGTGATGCATCATTTTGAATTCAAACGATCAAGTAGATGTCGATTCCTTCAGAAAATAATTAATTTCTATTGTTTTCACAGGAAAAATAGAAAAGTTAGAGGCATGCTTTGTTTAATGTGAAGAGTGATTTGATAAAAAACCACTGTAAAATATGAAACTGTCATAGGGTAGTGAATGCTTTCGGGTGTGTACTTAAAAATTTCTTTGACTGACTTGCACAGCATCACAAGCTATGAAAATTGGTGATAACAATGTCATAGAGTCTAAAGGTAAGACCTGAATCTTCCTTTCCCCTTCTTCGATAAAAGACAACAATACATCATATAAGGGAGGATTAATGTTGCATTATACCATAGCTTTTACAGGACAGTGATCAGTGACAGCGATTAATTGTATATGAATGATTTAATTATATTGAAAACTAATGAGGTTGGCATTATATGGGTTACCATTAAAGAGTGCGTGCTTCACTTTTTATTTCTATTTTCATTAGAAGCTCACAGGCTGCATATTCTTTAAATTAAATTAGTTCCACATGTAGGTATGACCAAGTGATTTTCTTAAAAAAGGAACTTTCTGAGAAGGGATATCCTTCAAGATTCTTTCGGATTAAAGACATCTCTTCTGTTTGAAGCTACAACTATTATTCGTTTGTCACAATGCTGTTTTATAATGAATTCAAGCAATTCACAATTAACAAGCAGGGTTTATGTATGCATCTAAATTCCTTTGATACATAAGGTTGCTCTTCTTCATCTAGCTGAAGTAGGTAGGAATGTAATCCTCACCAGCGGTTGCATCATTGGAGCCTGCTGCCAGGTGAATACATGTGAGGTCATTCCAGAGAATACGGTCATCTATGGATCAGAGTGCATGCGCCGTGTGCAGACTGAAAGACCTCAGGTTAGTTCCATGTTGGCATATTCCCACACATTCTGCCCGAGGGGAATGAGGTGTAAATCCAAAGACATAAGAAGCCCTATAGCCCTGTAGGCTGTCTAAAAATATTTATTGAAAAATTATAAGTAAATAAGAAAAAGTAAGGTGATTACCTTTTCTTTTTTTCTAAAATAACATTAGTTAAGCTTTTGGTACTATGTTTTTCAAATTCTTTAGGTGACTGAGTTGCACATTTACTTTTAAAATGTTCATGCAGACGTTTAATTGATTTCATTTGTGTTTTGATTTATTGTTCGTATTTAAAAGGTCATGGGAAAAGACTTACTAGTCACTAAACCTAAAAACTTGAACACTGTTAGTAGGCTCTTGCTGCTGCTATTTAACGTTTCTCCTGCATGTGGATACATGGAAAGATTCAATGGATTTCTCTCCTACAGCCTCAGACGCTCCAGCTAGATTTTCTAATGAAGATTCTTCCCAATTATCATCATCTCAAGAAGACTGTCAAAGGAAACTCTACTCCTACAAAAAACTGAATGTTATGTGAACTGATTTTGTTCTCAGCATCACCTGGCCTGCACACCATAAAGGTATTTTATGTTTATACTGAACAGACCTCTTTTAACAATTGTGATGTTTCTCATGAATGAAAAAACAAAACCTTGGGACACCCAGCATGTTTTTTTGAAAAGCATACCCTTAGAAATGAAAAATGAAACTGAAGTTATTTTTTTTTTTTAGGTTGAGCCTGTAAGATGTTTTGTGGTGCACATTATTCATATTTTAAATTATTTTAGTAGTTGCTGCTGTAGCTACAAAAACCTATACATCATAATGTTTCTTTATTATGTTTTTACCTACAATTGTTGAAGTAAAACTGAAACCCTTCTGTTCATTCCAATACTCTAAAAAATAAAGCTAAGAAACAGTTAATGTTTTCATGTAATACCATTGTTATCGCTAAATAAAGATAACTATTTAATAATATTTTCTTTTTAGTTTTTGTAGCCAGAGCATTGCATATTAATACTCCTTTTGTGTAAAGGTAATGCATTTATCCTTATAGTCAGACCTAGATGTCTGTGTGTTTAAAAAGCACTTTAATAGCTTTAATAGCTTTTCATGCGGAAATGAATAAAAAAAAATGTTATGAAAGCACTACCCAGCCAGTTACAAATTTTTAGGCATCACTGTAAATAAATGTTTTGCAGATATGGGCAGTGTATCAGCACTTTGTTCCTCTCATCTTGTGCGGATAAACTCCCCTTTTTGTATGTTTCACTCCAAGTTATATATCCACTTTGATCAGCAGACATATATACGTTCTCCCAATCTCTTTTTTTACTGTTTGTTTTTCTCCTGATGGAAGGAGCTCAAATTGGTGGTGGTCATGACAGTCAATGATCATACTGGCCTTCTGCACTATTTGACGTTCTGTAGATGTCTTGAAGCTGTAGTTGTTGTGCACCAATAATTTTGCTGGCTACCTTCACAATCCTGTAGTTATTGTGTGTGTTAAGGTTACCAACTCAGTTAGGACAGATGCAATCTAATTCCAGTGGATTCTTCTCCATGCTTGATAAATATAAGAAGTAAGAATCCATCCTTAGAGATTGTGTCATCCTAGCTGCTTGCTTGACACACCATAAAAAAATAAGTAAGAGAGGCATCAAATATCCCATTTCTGTTTTTTTGTTAATGCATGAACATTTTTTAATGAAAAAAACTCAAGATATTGATATAGCTATATCAAACGTAACCCCTTCTTCGTCATACATATGATCATTTCCTTTGTAGTATGCAGTGAGCCTTTTAAAAAGGATATTTCCTGTTTTAAAAATCCATAACATCTTCATTCTATTCAGCTTCATGGTTGTGCCAGAGCCTGGCAAGCAACACGCACCAGGCTGGGTACTCCCTGGGTTGGGACGCAGTCTGTCTGAACAGTTTATTCATTTTTATTTTTGCCATGTCTTTAAGTTTCACAAGGTGGTGCTGCTGAGCCATAAATGCATACAGTTAGCATCGGTCCTGGTTTACTTGTAATTGCACTGGAAGGTGGAGCGTTCAGAGGCAACATATTGTATGCTAAGGTTTTCTATTACAATAATGTAATAACAAAGGCTAGTGATGCAGAAGAAAATGATGTAAATTGAATAAAATATTTTAGTTAGTGTCTGGCCTTGGTTAACCTTTGTGGTAATGGTAACTGTATATGATGTACAGTGTATATATTCTTGTTCTGTTTCATTAATAAAAATCTGCCTTGCTTCAATCCCTTCCCATATTTACAGTATACAAAGTGTATTTTTGGTCTCTAGTTGGTTACCAAGCAAAATAAATCCTCCTCTGATTTAATCCCTGATTTACAGTAAGTATGTTTCTTGATTCAGCTTAATTAGAATGGAGTTCCTGTTACATTAGTGTGGCCCAATCTTTCAATACTGAATCTTTCCATCTTATTTACTTTCCATTTAGCTCTGCCATACCTGAACCCATCAAGGAATTTCTAAACTAAGAAAGCCTGAGCAGCCAAAGATAATCAAGAAAAAAATTCTGGGTAATTCATGTTCCGAAATGCAATGTATAATGCATTTATAATGTATGTATAATGTATGTATAAATGTATTTTTCTTTACCCAAGAAAAAGTAGACAACTATTCAATGATTCACGATAGGCGATGATTGAAACAATCGGTCTTGGAAAGCCAGAGTCTTCTCATTTTCATTCTACCTGGGGACTTACTGGTATAATTCAATAATTTACTTATTGTAGTGTTTGTTCACTATAAAGCTTTTAGGGATGTGGCTGTCCAGAACAAGAAGAGAGTATTGCTGCCACACATTGTTTTTTTTCTTTCTTTGAATAGTTTAATATGCTCTTAATTTCTAATCCCCAAATATTTTGAACAGAGTTATTTATGCAATATATACTCATAAATTGTGCTGATAAAGAATGAGAAAAATTACATTTTTTTATAAACCAATGTTTCTGTTATGAACAGCACACATTTTTTTTAGCTGACAAGCACACTCCACTCTCCTCTCCAGATACAAAAATTGAAACTCAAGGTTTTTCGGTTACCTGGAAAAAAAATACTTGACCACTCCACAACCACAACACAGCATACTGTATATATGTTTAAACTGATATGTCATGTTCAAAAGGCCACAAACTGCTGGAAAGATAAAACTTTTCTGACAGCTGGCCTTTACATCCAGACTCCCTTTCCAGTTTAACAGTGAAAGGTGACCTATAAATATCTGTGGTATACATTTTATTTGGCCAGAATTGTTTTAATTCTCCCCATGAACTCAAGTACAACAAAAATTTAAGCCGTTTTTGATTGCTTTCCTGCAAGTTTTATTGTTCTGAAATTAGTAATAAAATATAAGTAAATATTTGTTAAAAAACAATGTACTGTATAGCAATTATGTGTTCAGTAAAATAATCACCCACCTCATACATTAATATTTCTGTTCAAATTGTCTTTGATTATAAATATACATCTCGTATCTTAATGCCAAGGCCACTGAGCCCTTTAAAGAACTACACACAGCTGTACTGTACTGGTATCTAACTCCAAGATTTTGCTGAATATATAACATAATTTTCATTTTAATCATAAAAAAAAGATGTCTCTTTCAAAAATCCTGACGACAGAAGAAATGTCTTTTATTATTTCAGTAGTTCTATATGTTAAGAGACGAGAGAGACTAGAGACTGATAAGGATAAGGATGTACTGTACTTGAGCATTAATTTATTCATACTTTATGAGTAGGTTATTTACTGTAAATGGAAGACATGCATTGTGACAGCATGACAGAAAAGGAGATGTGGGAGCTTCTGAGGGGATTCTGGAAAGCTGAGTGGTAGTGAGCTTCAGCAGGCAGGCTGATTAGGTGTTGCAAGCGGGCTGGTCAGTCAAGGGAAAAGGCAGGTGGCAGAGGAGTGACAGTTACACCGCTGAAAACCAGGGACAGAAGCGGACAGGTTTCGCATACATCTGCTCTTCATTGTGCACTGACAGTGAAAGGCAAAAACCAGCCATAGCGGCTGAGTGCCGTAACGCAGTAACTCCAAAACATGAGAGCAACAGCGTTGTGAAGACAAACGGACGCGTGTGCTGATTGCCTAACGAGAAGGGTAGCGTGGTCAGGTGGTGAAGCGCTGAAGCGCTGTCTGGGGTGACAGGAGAAGGGCAGCGGAATGACAGCTGTCTGGGGTCAATGGCAGTGGAGCCTCCGAGCAGGGGTTGGCTGGGAGGCAGGCAGCAGGTTCAGCCGGATAAAAAGGGGATGCCTTGGAGAAGCAGGGAGTGGCGCAGGTGAACGAGGGCTGCCCCCGACGGCAGGCAGTAGGGAAGCTGTACAGAGGCTGCCTGGAGAGAACAGGAGAGAAAATAAAGGTCTCCACTAGATCGAGACGCTTTTTGAAAAATTAGATTTAGCGCTTGCTAGACGAATGCAAAGCTAGTGGCCAGGTGGCTCCAGAGAGCTCAATGTCAGAGCGCTGGTCCAGCAGGGAACTGAGCCTGAAATAGGCGGATCAGTCAGGCCATTGATTGCTAGATTTGCTACCTGGCTAAAAGATTGTCAGAGGGACAGAAAGATGGCCCGAGCTCGTTCTCATGGGGCCGATGGACGGGCAAGAGCTTGTGGGAATACGTCAGGTTGCCATGACAATGCCAGACTGCAAGCTCCTCCCAGCCCGGGGGTAACACCATCATTATGAAATTAGCTATAGATACCAAAATCAAATAGCTCCCGTTGCATTTGTCTCAAGCATCCCTCCTCCACTCCATCCCCAGCTTGCAGCTGACCCTTGGTCCACTCCTCTCTGAATGGGGTCCGAGCCTTGTAGTCCTATGGCCAGGAGGCTACCCATTAGCCAGGAGGGTTAAGACAAACTTATCTCACCAAGTAATCCAAACACCCACAATGCATTCAATTCTGGGATGTTGATGTCCCTAGGGAATTTAATGTTTACAAGTTTATCAAAATAAAATCGTGGGAAATTTCATTTAGGCAAGTACAGGATGTTAACATCCAATATATGTAATGTATTAACTTTCATTCTCTTAAACATTAACTAGGGTATATCAAGTCAGTCTCTTCTTCACATTGTAGTGTATCTAATTATACAAATTATTACAAATTATAAGAACAGTGGGCAGTAGTATTCTGTGTTGGTCCAGTATATACAATACACTACAAATTACAATCAATCAATTTGTATTTGTTATCCAGCTATGAATATGATTGATGGGTAATAATAATGACTTATAAACATTGAAATGTACTTAAAGTGAATACTTCTGGTTGGTTGAGATCACTGGGTTGAACACAAAGTATGTTTTTGTTATAATATGATCAAAGGAATGCTTGGAATTACCCAATTCCACAGTTTTGACTTTGTTGTCCCAATACATTTGGAGAGCACTGTACGTAGATACATTTTAAACATTTGGCTGATGGCCTTTTTGTGAAATCAAGAAAGAAAGGCTGTCACAGATGTCCTACATTAGGAACAGAACTACTCCAGAGCTATATTAGTTGAGAATTTTGTAATACCAAAATTCTGCAGACCTTCCTTTCTTTGATTTATCTCTCCCTTCCCCCTACCCTGATCTGCAATTGTAAGAGCTGAAAAACATTCCAAGGGGGAATTGTAATTCATTATAGAAACATATGTCAACACTTTGGAACTCACATTTAAAAATGCTTAAGGTGGTTCCTATCAGTCTTGCCTTCTCCTTAACCCTTTCACCGTTTCCTCAGCTGAGACAGTTGTGCCATGCTATATCATTACTTTGGTAAAGAAAAAAAAATATTGCAAAGTCTTTCTGTGCCGTATATTTCCAGGAGTCACTGTTGACAAATTAAAGATGTTTCAGTAGAATTTTGGAAAATATGGTTTGTTTTCCTGAGCACACTACTATTGTAGCTTCCCCATATTGAAAGGGTTACTGGTGTACAGATTTATCTTACTTTGAAAAGTAATATTTTACCCCATCCTTCACAATGCAACGTACACACACCTACAGTATGCATGGAACCCTGACAAAATGTTTTCCGCAAGATGTCATGATCTCACCGTCTGCAAAACAGTGTAGGTACAAGCCAGTTTTTTTATCTTTGTGGATGTTTTTGTGTCACAAAGATTCTCCACATTCTTTAAGAAACATTAGAAAATACAAAAGAGGTATGCTGTAGTATCTGTTTGTTCAAATCACGTTAGGAAATGTCCTCCTCGCTCACACATCCATGAGGAAGTAACCTATGGATCTGAATGTAATATTTACTGTATGTGTGAACAAACTGAAATTTGCCTACCAGCCCCCTCCCACTAAATAAATGTAGCTCATCAAAATTTATTTTGGAAAATTCAAAAAACAATTTTGACCGTTAATGAACATTTTATATTGTTATAAAATGAACAAAATATTAATCTGGCTGGAAAAGGAGTGCCAAGGAGTTTGGTCAGCTGTTAAAAAGCCTTATGACTTTCCTTAAGGGAATGGAAAAAGACTGGCAATTTCCTACAGTTAACCACAGGGTCTGCACTGGCAGCATCATGCCACAGTTGACTGAACATGTTTCCCACAATCTTGCTGTATTTCAAAGTAACGTTGTAATGTCTAGACGTCTACAGAAAACATATAGGAAATAACACGTTTGAGTTAACTATTGACACTGAAGTGTCTGGTGACATGTATTTGGAAACTCCAAATTAGGCTGTTGTCACTTACATCTTGCACAAACATTGTGGTGGGGCAACATTCAGAACGGGCCCAGTGCATTCTGGAACTTGTGCTGAACAGCCAACACATCCAGGAATTACCGTAGCTGCCTGGTGCCAGCTCTAGCTGGAATGTTGCTCATCACTTAGACAGAGAGCTCGTCTGCCAGAGAAAGAAACCGTGCTTTTTCCACTGTGGTTCATGTCAGGAGCAGATGTGTAGCTTGCCACTCATGCAGGTTTGCCATAAAAGAGCAGTTCTGATAAGGGTTCTCATAACAAACCAGAAAGCAGTCCTTTTTCATTCCTGTAAATATAAGCAAATCTTGACAAAGTAGCATTAAATTAACTGTAAATGAAGTATTGGAATAAAGCAATTTACAGAGCAAAGTTCACTTAAATTACCTCCTATACTTCATAAGGATTAGAACGTATCCATGATGCGTAGAATATGGGTCGTATTTATGTTTAGAGAAAACATTAAGGCATCAACAAGATGGACTGATTATAACCCCCCCACTATCTGTAGTATTAGTCATACAAAACAATTATCTTCACTTCTGTTTTTTTTACTTTGTATAAACATTATTGGGAATCAAGATTCTTAAAGACACT